AAATTTTGTATATAATGAAACCTTGACGAGAACAATGTTTCATATGAAAATTTAACAATGCGAATTTATTAAAAAGTCAAATTGAAACAAAAATCATATTTTTAGATCTATTGAATGCGATCGATTGGCTTTTATGTTATATCGTTGATAAATCTATTCGAAAACTTGAACAATTAACAGCTACAAAAGATTTATCATCATTTGATTTAAAAAATACTGTACAAGTTTATCATCTTCGAACATTAGCAATTATTTATATTCAAGTAAAATGTTCTATTTCTTCTATAATAAAAAAAATTTCTATTAAATTATAGCGTACAGCAATTATTCGTTTTTCACAATTTCTTAATTTAAATAATGATATCGATGATAATTGTAAAATAGTTCTTGAAAAATTATTACTCGTACATATATTGAAATTATTTGAAGAATATTTAACATTATTATATGAAGGACATTATATACAAAATAATGAAATAAATCAATGGATACAAACACGTTTATTAGATTTATGTTATGAATTACGTCATGATCTTGTTTCATTAGTTGATGTATTTGCTCCACCTGATCATATACTTAATTCCGTCTTAGGTATTAATAATGGTCAAGTTTATAAAGCTATAAATAATATGATACACAGTAATAAACAAACATTCCTCACACCATTATGGTTAAGTAAAGATCTATTTGAAAGAAGTAAACTTTAATATTATTTTTTTATTATGTGATACAATTTTGCTTACACAAAAAAGTTTTTAAATGATGTTTGTTATGTTTTAGATTGAATATTTTTATTTGATAGATTATGGGTGAAACGAAAGAAATTGAACGGTAAGTTTTCTAATCGATATAGGAGAAGAAAGAAATAGATATTTTTGTTAGAATAATATTTGTTTGCTATTCTATTTCGTAATATTATTTATTGTTAATTGAATAAAGCAATACTAAACTATTTTTTTGTCAATTACTGAATATTGATTAATTTCGTAATAGAATTGTCTGGAAGAATGTAACGTAAAAAAATATTTCGATATTTTTTAATGCGTTGAATACTTCAACTGTTGTTTTAATATCCATAGAAAAATCGATGAAAATTTAACGAACAAAAAAAGAAAAATGTTACCTTTTCAACCGTAAAAACGTTTTTTAAAAAAAAATTTTACTCGTTTTCTTCATTATAGACTATTCATGTCAAAGAACGTGTCAGACTTCATCAAAAAAATGTATTTTTAACGCCTATTTATGGTTGAAAAGGTGACAGTTTTTGTTCGTAAAATCATCAAAATTTACACGATGGATTGTATAGTTCAAATAAATTTCATGTATCTCTTATCAGTTAAATTCTTGCATAAACATATGTATATATATACGCATCAAAAAAAAAGAAATTACTGTGTCACTATGTAATACAGATATTAACATTAGTTTCACTATTTTATTAACTGAAACTTATGAAATAGGGACATAATAATATCGTCATACCAGTTATCTACTTCATATTTTCTATTAATTTAATAATAAATTAATATAATAAAATTTAAACATATTATTATATAAGAATAATAAATATTTCGATGCAAAACAAAAAATATAGAATATTTTACTTATGAATAACCCGGATTGTATCTTAGAGACCTTGACACAATTTCTATACGGTATTAATCTTGAGAAAAACATTTTCTTATTGATTTAGATCAGTTCAAATGCGTTTATACGCATTACACAAACGACAATTCGTAGCTGTATTCGTTTTATTTTTTATTTGTTTATTTATTGCTGTTTTAATTGGTATTATTGGTCCATCTGTTATTCAATCGATTGATTATAAATCTGAAAATCCAGCTAAACAATTAGTAAAAAATTAATATCTATCTAGTATAGAAATAATCAGTTTATTTTTTGTATTAGTCTGGTCCTTATGAATTCAAATCTGAATATCTTGATAAATTTCATCAACGTCTTTGGTTAACTATGAAAAGTTCAACGAATATAAATGGTATGCAAAAAAAAAGAGAAATTAGATTTTATATATTAACAAGAAAATGTATTGTTCATATTTTAGATGAATTTCGTCATTTAATTAATGTTAGTATTGCAGTGAATAATCCATCGTCGAATACTGAAAATTATGTTCGTCAACGAACGATTCATTGTCAAAGACAGGTTAGTTAAAATAACTAGACGAATAAATCATAGAAATTTAAATGATAATATAAGAAATAGACTTGAACTTATACTAATGATTAAGATTTACTGACAGATTGAATAGATTATTATCAGTTTAGAAATAAGAGTAAATGTAAGAATGTATTTTTTTGTTATGAAGAAAAACATGTTTTTTAAATCGACACATGAATTTGTTGATAAAATTTTAAAACATATTGCATTTTATTATTCATTAATTTAATGCATATTCATTTTGTTATGAAACTATGTTGTCTAGTCGTTTTTTTCTTTTGATAAAAAGAAATGTTTTAAATTAACTTTAATTTCTTTCATTGTGTGAAATCATCTTTCGTTGCTCATATAACATTGAATATGTATACGGACGAATGTATGTATATCATGCTCTCGTAATCTATCCTATATGCGCATATTCTATTCATTCGTTTCTACTGTCTCATCAATCAACTTTGTGTATGTATATATGTGTTCATCATTGCTTGCTCACACCGCTTCGCTCAAAGTCGCGTAAGCGTGTGCTCGCTCGAGCAGAGCACGTGTTATACGTGCAATCGAAATCGATCAAATCGATCGCGCAACCGCATGTACAACGTTCTAATTGGGAACGAAGGGTGCTTCCTTTCATCCATCAATATCATTTATCTATGTGCAAGGCTACGGTCAAAAAGCTGTTCGATGCTTTCAATTGTGTCCGTAAACCTTGACGTGCTCGAATGAGCATGTATGAATATGGATGCCCTTCGCTATCTGAATCCTTTTTTTTTCGCATTCAATGCTACGAGACCGATCAGGGTCAAAGAAAAAAAAGATAATGAAAAAGCATAAGAGAAGGATGTTCACGGTCGTAAGCTGAATGCGGTATAAATACACAGGCTTCTTATCTATCAGATTCATATTCAGTCGATAGTCTTCGCTAACACCAAACATTCAACTCTTAAAGTTTCAGGTAAGACTATTAAAATTTTGAAATTTTTTTTTACTGTCTCTTCCTCTATTACTTTGAACATTTGTTACTCTCACAACCATTATGACTATTAATATTACTAATATATAGAAGATATCAATCTTGCTTGGTCCATCTCCACGGTTGTTCATATATACATATTGAGCGAAGAAGAACAAGAGACACACACAAAGAATAAGAAGAGAAAAAAAATCTTTCACCGTAACGATTCGATTGCACAATTTCATGTTGTTGGTCACGGAGAGAGAGAGAGACAGAAGAAGGGAAAGAGAGACAGAGACAGAGAGAGAGAAAAAAGAGTGAAGGCGAGTAGAGTCGTTGTCAAAAAAAAGTTGCATCATATACACAAAGAGAGAGCGACCGAGAGTGTACAATATTTTAGTCTTCCCATATATTCTCGAGCATACACACACTTTTATATTTATATATATATAAAACAGAAATAGTTTTGGCGAGCCCACAAAGGAATGGGACCTTACAATCAATACTCACAACAATCAGGAACTTATGCTTCCTCTACGAGACAACAAACAAACAATAGTAGCAGTGCAGTAACAGGTGGATATACACAAAATGGTAGCAGCAGCGTAGGTGGTCATAAGAGCAATGGAAAAAGTTCTGGCTCAACATCAAGTACAAGTTCATCAAGTTCTTATGATTATAAACGTTATCCAGCCGGTTCCAATTCACAAAAATATGGTGGACCAGCAGTTGGTGGTGTAAGCGGATATTATGAACAACAACAATATAGTTCAGGTGGTGGTGCTGGTGGTGTTGTCCCTCCACCTGGTGCTAATGGTGCCGGTGGAGCAAATTATGCAGCTTATAGTGGTTATGGTGAATCTCAATATGGTAGTGAAGGTGGTTATGATAATTCAGGTGATATGTATCTTCGCCGTCGTCAAGGTCGTATTCGTCGACAAGCCATTCGTCTACCCGATCAACCAGGTGCTGTTCGACAAGTTCGACATCGAATGCCTACACCAGAACCAGATATTCTAGAACGTGTTTATATTCGTCGTCAACCAGGTGAAATTGTTGAAGAAATTATTGAAGAACCAATGACACCACCACCTCGTGTTCAAGAACGTACTGTTGTTGAACCATCAGGACCACCACAAGTTGTACGCAAAGTTATTCGTGTACCACCTCGTGGACAAGGCTATCAACATCAACAACAGGATACACTCAATCAATATGGAAGTTCAAGTGGTGCCAATGCACCAACAGCTGGTAGTGGTGCTTATGGTGCCGGTTATGGACAATCAGGACAAGCATATAGTGGTACAAGCAGTTATAATCAATCAAGTAGTGCTGTAGGTACTCAACAACCAGGACCTCAAGGTTATGGTCAAACTGGTTATGAAAGATATCAAGGACCGACACAAGCACGCGGTGCTCAATTTGGTTATAATGCACCAAATGCACAAGGTATCGCCAGCACAGGCATGTATCCACCACAACCAGTACCACCACCACCTGGTCTTCCACCAAATGCTTTCTGTTTTGAAACAGGAGGTCCAGGTGGTCCAGGACCTTTTCCACAACAACAACCATCTGCTCCACCATTTGGCTCAGGTGTTCCAGGTTTTGGAGCAGCTCCAGGCTTTAATGGACCACCAGGTTTTGGTGGACCTCCTCCAGGTTATGGTCAACAGCCAGGTATAGGTGCACCACAAGGACCCGGTGCCCCTCCAGGTTATGGTCAACAGCCAGGTATTGGTGCTCCAC